AAAATCACTCAAACATTACCAGAATCTGATTCGACCAGTGTTCGATTTTAATTGTGTTGGCAATGCAGGCATGCACACACTCTCACTAATGTACGGCTGGAGGTTAAATCATGGTGTGTCATTTCTACTCAGAGCATTATGCTGAGGAGAAATCGTGCAGACCCATATGTTGTGGAGCATTCAGTTCAGATCACAGATAATGGTCTGCAGCAGTCCGAGGACGTGGTCTGGTTTTTTTTCACAACACCCAGCTACAAAAGCTCTTTGTGTTCCTTTTTTTCTGCAAAATATTGATAATGTTCGCCTCGTGCTGTGACCTACTGCCTACCCATCACTTAGTAGTGTAAACACAAACATTGCCCTATTTCTCAGCCTCTCTGTTTACACAATAGTTTGTTTCTCTATCTTGTGGATCTATGCAGAAGACCATCCTTATATTTTTTGGTTGTACAGTAAATATGTTCCCTGGTATGCTGAACAATGTCCTTTTGTCCAGGTTTTTCTTGTGTATTTTTACGTTGATGTCACACTGTTCTCTCTTTTCTTCTGTATATTGAGTGTCCAAAATCATTGATCCTAAAAATAATGAACGTGGTGAGAATAACCCAATAGAATTATCCCTAGCTTCATAACCTGATTGTGAAAGGCTGTGGTTGTGCGCGTGTGTGTGTGTGTGTGTGTGTGTGTGTGTGTGTGTGTGCCTGTTCAACAGAGATCTATGATTATAGAAATGACAATGGTTCAAAGGCATATAGAAGTATCATTGCTATTATGATTATTATGATTACTATTACACTACCAGTATATTGTAATATTATAGATTATTTAGTTCAAGTAACTTCTTTAATTTTTTACAAACAACTTTGATGAAAAAATTTATAAAACGGTCTCACGAGTCATGATCTTTTCGAGTATGAAAAACTACTGCTACGAGGATTAAAATTGTGTTCTGATGAAAATAAATACAGACATATAATGTCTTCGTCTGGTGTCCTTTTATTATGGTCATTAATGAAAGTGTAAACAATTTCACTTCTTAGCCACACAGATAAGGTACAACATACCCTTTTGCTCCTGTGTTTAGGGGTGGCCACAGTAGGAGTATCCTTATCAGCTTGATACTGTGCACTGTGAGAGGAAAGTATGATGTTAAATATCGACAAATGCAAGAACAAACATTTGAGACGTTAAGTCAAAGAAAAGTTTAAAATTTAAAACCTCTGGTTATTTCATTGCACAAAGTCGCAGCATTACAAGTTTCAGCCTCATAATTTAGTATATGAGGTCGAGTTTTTAATAAGCTGTTGTTCAACTTTGGATCAACAGATGGCAGTATTAGCGATAAGATGGAGATTCGGTTTAGAAACGAGTAGAGTAGAAAGTCCATAAATGCCAAATAATCGACACATATGTCGTTTGTTACACAGAAAAAGACACAAATACCTGCTTTGGGTCAACATTAGTGTCAAATACCACGTTGTAATATTATATTAGCGACCTATAGTTAGATATACATAGTTTAAATCGTACACACCACATTTCCATTGTGGTCCAGGAAAATATAATCTTAGCCTGTATATTTTATAGCTTTTATCAGAGTTTAACTAGTACAAGTGGAGCACTAATCAGCACCAGGTGGTTCGTCGAGCGTTGATTAGCTGCAAGAAAACACGTGTCATCTTTAAAGTCACTGTACGAACAAGACAAAAATTATTGTTTAATATAAGATTAAGTGAAATTTAAATCATACAGGGGTAATATTATTACACAAATACGAGTATTGTACGTCTGGTAAGACTGGTCAACTCGCTAATAATTCTGACCTTTTTTATTATTTACAGAGGAGTCTTTGATTCCTTCTGATTTTGTATAATTATGTGTCAGACCGAATACAGCATACAATTTAGTACAGCTTCCACCCGTGTATCGTGACGGTACAATTACCTGTCAGCGCTACAGTGAAGTTGAGTTTAAACGAACGAAAGCTCAGTTCCAGTGGCTCCTGCACCGTGTGTGGGCGGGGGGCTGCGGGGTGGCGGAAGTGAAGGGGAGCGTGGGAGACAAATCACGAGAGCCACATGGGTAATTGATTGTCATTTTCAGCGTAAATCAATTATCCACACCGCCTTCACATCTCCGTGACAAAATGCTGCAGCATTTCTGACAGACCGTAAGACCATAACGAAATGATCATCCATTAACAACTAACCTTAGTAAATTACAGTCAATTGTGTCTAATGTATATTATGATTACACTATCAGAGCGGTTGAACTGTGTGAGGTTAATCCCACTGTTGTACTGCACAAAACTCACCAGCAGGGGTCACTAGTATTATGAAAGAAATATTTCATTTAAAGGGGAAGCATCGAGGGTCCTGGAACAACAAAAGTATGCAGAAAAGTATTGATTATCTACTTTAACATGTTTTATCAAATTCAACTTTTATTAACAACGTTGTTTGATCAGTTGTTGAATTAATAAGTTAGCGTTGATCATTTTTAAGATATGAATGCAGGTGTTCATTTTAAATCTGTAAAAACCAAATACCAAGTTCTGAAACCTGTACCAAATGCATTTCTTTTATCTTGTAATTTTTGTTTGTGTTTATTATTATTTTAAATGAGTTTCAGAAATATTCATATATAAAACAAAAATGTTACACCATAGGCTTTACGTTTCTAAAGATTCTACATCTCACCAAAGCTTCTGTGCTGAATAGATGTGAACTAACATCAGGTTGAGCTGTGCTTCCAAATCTGCCTGTCAGAAAATAAAGACTATTTTACTGTTTATTTCTATTACTGTAAGTTTGTAAGATCAGTCGACTCTGTGACCTCTGTAGGTAACACCAGCCAGAAGTTTATCACAGTGTATATTACTAAAAAATCTCTTCTCATCAGTTAGTAAAGTATCAGCAAAAAGAAGAAACGGCTCAAAACAATGACTTCATTATCATGTTTTTAAAAGTTATTCCAAAGCAGTACCTTTAAAAAAAACACTGCTTTTAAGTTCAAATGGACATTTTGTTAGTGATTGAATTCCAGAAAATGTATACCACATTTGCATTTTAATACACAGGCCCCACTCCAAGAATAAGTAGCATAATACCATTGGCATTTAAAGGCCTCGTGCTTCTCAAAACTGAAGCAGCATAAGAAACAATACAAGATGTGATATATAATAAATGCATTTTAACACACGAGTGATTGGAGCAGAGGTTGCAGAGAAAATATGTTCAGGTGCTTTGTGATGAAATGGTATTAGGAAAGGAAAATCTGAAGTGACATCAACATGACAGTGATGGAATTGTGTAAAGGTTCCTCTCGCGTCAGGAGAAGGCATGAATCACAGCACATATGGCTGCTGAGCAGCCTCACATTCTTCATGCAGCCTAACACAAAAACCTGTGTATATTTGTCACGCCTCACGTGTTATTGCTGAATTCACTCACCCACTTAAACTAAATCATTTAGCATCTGGGAAGAAATAAAAGGCTTGAATAAAAGGTTTCACTAAATTTTTTTATCTGTCCACTCCATTCCAATAATGCTCTAAATGTCAGTTGTTCTTATAAAATGTTCCCACTGGATCATGTTTGGACGTTTCACAAATGCAACGCTACAGTTTAATGACTGAAATACCAGACAACTCTGTATGATACATGGTGGAAATTAAAGGGGGAAATGAGCTGTATGACCCTGAATAGTTTGATGTGCGACCTCGGAATAGAATTCAGTTCATTACATTGGTTGCAATAACTGTTATATTGGTATGAACAGACGAGCTGATGCTGCTGAACGGAATAAGACAAGCTCCATGAATACACACCATGCATTAGCTCCAACCACCTTGGAAGACGCAGCATCATATGTACGTCAACTGGTTGTTGGGGGTTTTGTGTGTGCTGTTTTGTTTATTGTAAAGTAGTATGTGCTCTTGTCCAAGGGGGCTATGCTGCTTCCCAAGATCAGTCACAAATACATAAAAACCTGTTGTCTTAGTTTCAGGAATGCATTAGCAAGATGGTGAAAAATGCCTAGAGTGAATTTCAATTGGTGTTTAACAAGGCATGTCAGCTGCACTGAATATAAGCTGCAGCCCTGCATGTTGGTTTGTTTTTAATAATATTAATTTACATCTATTGTGATGAGCAGCAGATGAACAAGAAGTAATTGACTTGAATTCTCATGTATTCTCACACTTATGGTTTGTACAATCATAATATAAGCGGCAGTTTTATTTCCAAGAAATACACTACAGTATGTGCAATTTCTTTTTTTTGGTCCTGTCTTACAGTATGTTGACAGCAGCAAGTTGCAACCACAGATCCTGCTAAAACATTCTATAGAGATAGACAAATGATATACAAAAAATATAATGAAAATATAAGTTTTCAATTCTGACAAATAGGATGGGATTTCATCCACCTTTTTTTTCATATTTTACACAACTTAAATTTAAACTTAAATCCTAATGGATGGATGGATTAAAGTACTTAATCAGTACATTAAATAATTTTTGTCTGTTTGGACAATCTATTAAATGAGGAATACGAGGATAGTACAGTGTCAGTAAAGATGCAGCAGATGATCAGTGACTGTCTGTGGTATCCAGTGTCTATGTAGTACATAAGTACGACCAATGACCCGTGCAAATGTCGGCTGTCCATGAGTTTCTTTAGCCGCGGCTCATTAGTATTCAGTCTTGGTGTCCTGATAATTTACAGATAACAGTGAAATGTTCTGTCCCACAGCCCTTGGAGAAGCACATATGATAAAAGACTGAATCAATAAAGATTAAATGAGCTGAATGCTCACGTTTGGTCTTCGGTGGTTTGGTGGCTTTTTAGAAAAATGTATCTATATGTAAACAGAGCTAAGCTGAGGATTAGCAGAGAGAAATCGTTGAGAAAATGTGTGCGAGAAAAGTGTTTTGCAGTCGTTTTGACACAAACACATGGCAGCTACGTTATATTGCCACCATTCATTTGTACAGGCTAGCACTTAATGCCATAGTGCAATTACTTCTTCAACAGAAACACCTCTGTGTTATTAGCACCAGGGTTTGGTTTCCATAATGACCACAGATTCTTAAGTAGACTAGTAATAATGTGAGACACTGTCCTGAGTAGGTAAACCACGTGTCACATACAGTCGGCACATTCCCATTCTCTGTAGTCTCATCACCATGGCAACAAATCAGAGGCCTGCTCTGTAGCTCTAATGCACTGAGCTTCTTAAACCTCGTCTCGAAAGCGTATCATACAAACAACCACATATTGAAAATACAAAACTTCTTTTCTTCTTTCTTTTCACTTGATCCCTGTTCTCCCTGGTACATGACAACACTGAGATATTGATACTGCATATACACATGAGATATTAGCCCAATATTTTAACCAATGTTTTGAATATCTCTTTATATAATAAGTGAATACAGGATTATTTTTTCGATAGAAAAGAAATGCATATTTTTTAGTGTATTTGACCAACTACAATAAAGTAGGTATTCTGTTATTGATGAGGAGCTGCGGTGGACAAAGATATTTATATTCTACTGCAGTTAATGAAAAACAAATGTGAATCTAATTTTGAATGTACTGCGTACAGTACCAGACATCAGAGACCACAGAGACTGGACGATGAGTTATTGGTTATTAAACAAAGTCAAATACTACTCTGTGCTATCTTTGTAGCCACCAGCTTTAGCATGAACGTATTTAACAACTCACCTCGGATAACACACACATTAGCAGGGGTGCGAACCAAAGGAAGTCACCTCCACTGATGACATGTGTCGGCAGCTCCGAGGCGTTGTCTCTGAAACTGAAAGATTTTTAAGATGATTAAGATTTTTAAATGAGTGTAACGCAGATTAATTTAGCAGCATCATGTCTACTGCTGGGAAATTATGAATATTAGCTGTGATGAGCTAATGCTATTAGGATAAGGCAGAAGCAGATGAGGTGAGGAGTCAAAACAAACATTTAAAAAGTATCAGTAAAGGTCTGTCCCACGACATTTTCCTTTCACAAGCTTCCAGAAGAACATTGTTGGCATTCAACATGTGGTTCTGGATTCGTTCGTCTTTCAATAAAAACAGTTGAGGGATCTGTTTTAGATCCATGGACATTTACTGGTGCTTTATAAAAACATGTTCTGAACCGAGAACACTTTTCCAACTATTTCCGGATTAAAAACAATGATGTGAAAAAAATGCTATAATTTAAATGCGTTAACAACAGATGACTTGTGAAAGAACAGAACTAAAGTTGTAAAAAGTTCCTCACGGATGTAATAAATGTTATCAGTCAGCTTCCTTATTTTTTTGGGCCAACAGTATAAACAATGATCTATCCAGTCATTTGCAGTGACAGACTGTTACACTTAGTTTTCTTCATAGGGGCCTGTGCACAGATTCACACGATGACCAGAGAAAACCTCCAAACTGATTGCATTTCAATTCTCAGGTCAGAATGTGATTAACCGAATGCAGGGAGCTTGTTATCATGTCTGGTGCTGATTAAAACAATAACACGTCTCATTCTGTGTGCAATGCAGGAGCATCGCCACAGAAAGACTCTTGGGCACAACTGCCTCAGAAGTAATCAGTATTTACGGCTTTGGGAAAACAGTTCCTACCAAAGAATCTCACTTGATAAATAACACGCCACAAAATGAAGGCAGTAAATCAGGAAATGCAAAAAAAAAATCTATTGCAAAACTCTTTACAGCTCAACCTAAAAAACCCTTCATTAACACTTTTTATTATTTAGGCATAAAGGCTTTGTGCAGTTCTTAATAGAATAACAATAATATGACCTGGTGTTCTGACAGTGACAGGGGTCATGTCACTCGTTTTTGTAAGTTTCTATTGAAAAAGCACGAGTGATAATTAGGAATCGCATTTAGAATTCTTTTTAGTTCCTTCCGTTATCAGGGTGGCACGACCTTGGGATGCAACCAAACCTGGGGACTAGATGGTGTTGATACCAGAACCTCTAGTGGCGAGGGTCCTACCACTGCACTGCTCTAGCCCAACCACTCATAGAAAACGTAATAATGTCAGGGGACGTCTGTCTGACACAGCGACAAGCACACAGTTTATATATCAAAACTAAAAAAAAAAACAATTGTTAGAGTGTGTTGCAAATCCAAAGATAAAATGAATAATAATTAGTAGAAAAAATATTTTATCAGTATTTTTATTATCAATTACTAGACCTCTACAGTGACCCCGTTTGAAATCCAGAAAACCCCACAAGAGGTTGCAACCCCAATGTTATTTGTTATAAATGAGAAATATGACAATAAATTGTAAAATAATAAGCAGTCTGTGACAGACTAATGCTATGACCAAGCCATTCGGTGACATCACAGACTGAGACAGACAGCATTAACCAAGTTACCCTCATGTCCCTGAAGTCAAGAACAATAGTAGTGACGCAGTTGTGTTTTTATAATGCAGAGAAAATCTAATATTTACACAGGAGATGGGCCTCGGAGTTCAGCTCCACACACAGACCGTTTATGTTTGGTTCAATTGGAGTGATTAATTTTTTTTTTCCCTGCTTTTGTCCCCATACATCACCTTGGCAGGCTGCTGCCTCCATGTTCTGATATTTTGTTATTGTGAGGCATTACCTAATGGAACATCTATTGGGATGGAGATATGATCTAATTAGCAGGTGGTGTGTTCGAGGTTTGCCTGCAGTAACTTGTTTTATACTTGGAAAATAACAGCAAATCCAGATTTTTCACTTGTATGAAACTCATACAAGTGGATTAAAAAAAAAACGACATTAACATAACAGAAATAAAACAATTACAGCATATTACGTCAATCTGATTTAGTAAATTAAGTTAGTTTGACATGTTTTATGGTCCTATCTTTTGTAAATTGGTATGTTCAACATCTAACATGTGACTCCTTACAACATCGTTTCTTCACACGTCACGCCGATTTCCTGCCAGACTTCAGTTATATATGTGGCTCTGTCTGGGGAATTTACCTCGAATGAGTTGTGACTCAGAATGAGCTGTTTGTAGCTTCCTGGTTCTATGACGCAGTTGAACAAAGGTGGTTGAGCTGATTGATTGCGTCTACAGAATTCTAATCTGCCCTTTCATATCCTCCGGTCCTAATGAATTATCTTTACATGTTACATCACCATCCACACTGATCTGAACTCCTTCAAAAGACAAAAGCGCTGAAGTCTGATGATTTGGATTACTTATTCGCAAAGAAAGTGAACAAAAAACCCAGCCCTCACGAAGCAGATGCAGCGTTAGGGTTCACGGTGGATAATTTACAAAGCTCCAGAGGATTTACCTACGGCCTCCCCTGTTCAATTCACAGACAAGATTAAAGAGGATTTCTGTCTGAATTGCCAGAATGACAGAGGAGGGATTAATTAAGTGTTTTCATCAGTACACCAGTGCAGATGGCCTCCAGGGAAAAGACTTTACCTCTCCCTGTCTGAGCTGATAGTTACCAAACAAAACCTGACATAAATGCTTTCCTGGTGGTACATACATTTTCACCTGGCATTATAAGCTACAACTGTGTTTGTTTTTGACCCAGCGAATACAGTGGTCTCTCAGGAGGAAATACACAGCAGAAAGCCAAAGAGAACAGACCTGCGTGATCTTAAACGGGAATGACAACGACCCAACACAGACATCGACATGGAGAACTGTTTATATACTCGAGGAACCAGGTGAGACGAGTCAGACTAATTAACAGGGAGTCACAGGACACAGGTGATCGTGATGTCACAAATTACCCAAACACAGACAACACAATTTCCTAGTAAGAGGTGTGAGACGTAGCTATGAAAATGTTGGTGAAGCCGATGTCCTCAATAACATTAAGCTGGCTATTGTGTAAGTCAGCCAGTGAGACTGGTCCGACCCAAGCTGTCTGTCTGACCTGCAGGTGAAACATGAAATCCATACCAGGTGTGGAGGTGGTATTTTAAGCCTGAGATGCTTCGATGACGTGAAAACCTTTAACTACAGAGTGTAGAGGAGAGATCCTGGTGTGGGTGGGTGCATCTAAGACTTTCTTGTTCCAGGGCCAGGTGAGACTGTCGGCCAGTCTGTCTACAGACGTCATCCTTCTGCTTTTAACTGGTTGAAAAATAAATTTCAGATGTAAAATGCCTTACACAGTAACCATGGGCAAAGTCAAACACTCACACTGTTTGGTCAGTGGAATTTTGGTTAATTGCTAATGCTTTTACCAGCATATCGAACCATCAGTTAAGCCCGGCCAGATCACTGTGTCAACAGGGGGATTCCCCTCAGTTAAGCCTCTGTGGGTGGACGTCAACCTGTCAAGGTTGAGCACTGTCTGCCTTTCCACTCGTCCACTGTGTGGAAAATTTATCATTTATTCAGACCTTATCAAACCCTGCAGTGGAGACAACACATAATGATGGGACCCAAGGCCAGGCTGTTGTTATCTGTCAGGAACAAAACAGAACTGTGGAGTCCGATGGCAGGTGCACCAATAACCCCGGGCAACTGCAGGAAACACTGTCACAGATTTTAAACAGTGAAACATGCCAACAGCTATTCATTTCAATTGAAACAAACGTCTACAATCTCATGAAAAGAAAGATCATTAAACTTAATAGCTGCGGGCAATACATGAAATATTAAATCGAGGCATTATGTTGAATTTCTGCTGATTAAAAATGTATCCTTCATAATCTTACCATATTTCATGTCAAGAAACATATTAACCCTAAAGTCTTGCCATTTTATATTAGCATAAATAAGTAAAGAATTTTTATAAAGAATTTTTCACCAGTAGAATTCATAAATTGCCTTACAATAATATAAACAACAAGGGGAAGTCTTCCATTATTGGGACCGTGTATGACAGCAGATGTGGGTTAACCAATGATCCAGTCATGGATGCGACCTTGCTCATGGAAATCGACGACATTATTGATGTTCTGAAATCCGAATGTTCTAAAAACGTTTATGGGGGAAAAAAGTTTAGGAAAAAAGTTGAATCTTGAGGGACACCAGACAACTGGGCAGATATACATATATACTTTTTTTTACCATTTTACAAATATATAATATACATAATAGAAACTAAATCAAATTATAAAAATAAAGATTTGGAAATGTTTAAATGTATCAAAGACCTTTTTTATATAAATTAAGTTTGTTTGCATGTAGTCGCTATGTAAAATACTGTGACAAAAAATAAGTAGGTCAAATGTACCTCCACCAAATCTAGTGCATGTCCAAACACATAAGTCACATTCAGTTCAATGAAGTCAAGGAAAGCCAGTGATTAGAGCTGATTAGTAGAGATGTTGACCTCCGGTGAAACTGTGAAGAGACCCTGCATTCATCCATACCTGTGATTGCAGGAGGGAAGCAGCAGCAGATATCAAGTACTGCAAGGTTAATTGAAGGTTGATGAGCTCTCTCATTTACCAGGTGGAAGGTGTCTCAGTGTTTAATAAAACATGACACATTGGGTCAGTCATCGAGGCAGTTAACGTCGTGACAGCTCAGAGGGAACCTTCAAAATCTCATAACCTATTTTTAGTCAGATGTTATTACATAGGCCACAACAACAAGTCGATTACTTTATATCCTATTAACTGAAAATGCTTCCTGTTACTTTTTATTTTTACAAATAAATTACTAATTTCCTCAGGAACGCTCTCACCTCTGATTAGCCTGTTCTAATGCAGGCTGTGTAGTGTGCAATTAACACATTTCCCACAGGCAGTTGAGACGATAAACACAAGGCACGGAGTTACACATGCACATCCCTCCATTTTCCATTCACTCCC